AATGATCCAAGAAATAAAAAACACTGAATAGTCTCCTGACTTGAGATAGTTAGCAGAGCAGGCCACAGGAGAGGTAGAACGTTTTCTTGGGAGTTGAATAATGCTAAATTTGATTGGATCCACTGATAACCACAATTTATTCTCCTAAACATTCTGCCTAGAGAAAAATTCTGATATTCAATAAAGTTATACATGTTCTTTTAAATGATAACAGATAAACCGAAAATCAAAGATGATACCAACTGTCATGAACAGGGTCAAAAAAGATTCAACTGAGATGCAGGTAAAGGGATTAGTAATGATAGTTGAACTATTCTACTAGAGTGGCTACATTATTTAGCTCTGCCATCTCCACTGATGAAAATAACCGGGTAAATACCAGACCTTTGTCTTGCTTTATGGCCTTGGCGTGAGCATATGTCTTATTTTGCACACTTTATTACTTGTTAAAGAGACACAGTCCTGAAAAAGAAGTGTGGGTTCATATGCCAAACATTCTGTATTCTATAGACAGTCTGAATTGATTAAAGTCTCATTCGCCAGTTTTTCTAAACTGAAATTGTCCTCAACTTGGAAAAACAAAGAAACAGAACGTGCTAAGATCTACAACTTCCCTCCTACTCCAGATCAAAGAAAATGTGAAAGCAAAAAAAAAAATGTTTAGAAGTAAAATTCAAGACAAGTCAAAATAAACCACAATGAGATTAATGGTCTCTGATATATATTTTTTTCAAACCAAACTGTAATCCCCTGCTCAAACGATGTACTGATACATGTTAAAGATCTATAAACTCATACAATTAAATCTGTTGAAGATACAAATCCGAAGAATGACTTCCTCTCTCTAAAATCTGTTCTTCCTGCTTCTAACATGACATATTGTGCAACTCTGAAAAAATATTTACAACACAGAAGTGTAACACTCCTAGCTCAAACATAAGACAGTCCTTCGTAAGTTAATCATGTGATTCTTCTATTAGCCTTAGAATTTCATTAAGGGCCAAAATAAATTTAATAGCTGGAAACCAGTAGCTACCTTCCTAGAGTCCTGAATAATACAGTAATAAAAAAGAATTTACTAATATGAAAAGGCAACAAATATATCATGAGCATCTGAACCTGGGATTGCATAAACACTTTCCCGTGGGAAGCACAACTTGACAAGACTCCTACTTTTATAACCTGATCTGAGTGCTAAAAGCTCCCCAATAAAGATGATGCAAACACCCAATGCACAGCACATTAAGCCCTAATGAAACAGCAAAGGCCTCGTTGTTAATTCAGGCTTCCATTCAGCAATGGTTTAAATACAAGCATAATAAAGCAGATTAAAAAGAAAGAAGCTGGCAGGGCGCAGTGGCTCACACCTGTAATCCTTGCACTTTGGGAGGCCGAGGCGGGTGGATCACGAGGTCAGGAGTTCGAGACCAGCCTAGCCAATATGGTGAAACCCCATCTCTACTAAAAATACAAAAAAATTAGCCGGGCATGGGGGCAGGCACCTGTAATCTCAGCTACTCGGGAGGCTGAGGTAGGAGAATCGCTTGAACCTGGGAGGCGGAGGTTGCAGTGAGCAGAGACCATGCCACTGCACTCCAGCCTGGGCGACAGAGGGAGACTTCGTCTCAAAAAATAAAAATAAAAATAAAAAAATAAAAAGAAAGAAGCTGTAATTACTTGTTAAAGAACTCGATCTCTTGTATTATTGGTCTCTATGGCAGCCTCAGTGGCTGAATACAGATAGTAAATATTACATGAAAAGCTAACCAATCATACTGCATCTATTATTTTTAAAAATTTAAGCATGACAACTGATAGAACATGCTAGATAAATGAAAAATTGGGAAACTAACATCCTGGTCAAATCAATTAATTCTAAGCTAGCCATTACAGCTTCTCTTGTTTTCTTGGTAAAGAATTGACATGTCTTCTGCTTTCAGGGCTGGGCATGCTACCTCAAGGTGTTGGGAGGAGAATCTGATAAAAGCCACACTTAGAAAGGACAGTCTTGGCTTTCTGATGGCTATTTACAGTGACCTCCATTATCCGGCTGGGGCTCTATCCACTATGCAGCACAAAGAAACATTGTTATTTGACAGTATTTTTACAAAGTTGTAATTCTTTGACTCAGTCATTTGTGATGTAATTTATACAAAAGTGGATATTATCAGTACAAGCATGTCTACATTTCAATTATTCCTCCACGTATATTTGAAATAACTTGCACTTAAAACTGGAAATCTTAGAATTTGTTTAAATTACTGTACTTCTTTTTCCCAACTGTATATCTCATATTTGCACTCAAGTCCATTCAAATTATTTAAAACCATCCACGTCAAACCACAATATAGATCAAAGCCATAGAGTTCTTTCAGTCTTTTGCTTTTGGCTTCTGTTACTTTTTTCTTGGCCTAAAATGTCGTAAATCTATCATTAACCACCAACTGTTCTGAATGTTTTTTAAAAAGCAAGTTTAATTGAAAAGAATTAATGAATTCTTCATCTATTACTTCAATTAGCTTAAATTACGGACTTATATAAATAATTCCTAAAATTGAATGATTATTTGTCTGTAATACTCATATTTACCAACATCTTTTTATCAGAACACACACAGGCTATTAACTTACTATATGTTTCTGACAAAACGGCATTAAAGAAATTCTATAGTCAGCATTTTATCTCCCACAGCTTTTAGCCTCCACAAAGTTTAACCGCCAAGGAAAGAATCTCTCAAACAGCATTTCAGTAACACAAACTTGTGGGTAAAAAAGGAAATTTCAGATGCGTTTTTATTCATTTTATGCGTATAGAAAAACTCTTCAATATTTATTTCAGCATAAAGATATTAATAAGTTACTTATCTTCAGACATTTTTCTGCATCAGTATCTGGCATATGTGCAAAGCATTCAAGATTAGCATTTGCCCTACAAGTATATTCAGTGTTATCCTCACAAATTGAAGTTAACCCTTTAGATGCATTTCAAAATCCAATCATTTCAAATAATCACACACTCTTTCCACAGATTACTTTTTTCTATTTTTAGCAATATTATTTATCTTGGAAAAAATTTGATCTTAACAAGATTATGTTCCTGCATGCTCTCTCCTACCACTTTGTCTTCCTCGTTGTGTGCTGCAAGGATTTAGCAGACAGCATAGTCGAGGATCAGCTGTTTTATTTCTAGTTCTATTAGTTCAAACTCAGATAGCTCACACATCTGTTTTACTTCTAAAATCACTGCCCAGGAAAAGTGTCCAGCTCCTTCTACCCAAACATAAACTTTACTATAAATAACCAAGAACCTAACAAATAACTGTTTGGGGGAAATGGAAGTGTGTTTAAAAATCTGAATTCTTCCAAACTATAGACCTTAGTAATTTTCATTTTTAGAGCTTTCCTGACAGCCTAGATCAGCTTCCCTCAGAAGTTGTCCCTAGAGTGAACAAACTGAAACTCCTGCCGGAAATCCAGGTATTAACTTCATATTACTTGCTAATTATAAAACACCGTTTCACATACTGACATTATTCACTTCCAACCCTTTTATCTAAAACACGTATTTGCTTCCCAATCACAGTTTGACAGCAGAGTGTATCTGACATAAGACAGTGAAATGATCTTTAATAGACAGCAGTTCAAAGCATGTAGCTTTTATGCATAATAATTATGTTGGGTTAATTTGCTGCTCCACAGAAATAATTCTATTTGTGGAAATTCACAAACTCAGACAGAATTTTTAGAGTGCTTTACCAAGATGAAACTGGTGTTTAAAGAGTTCTTTACATCTCCCTTAAACTGATAAGATTGCCATTCTGACATTTAAAGGACCAGGAAATTTCTCTTCTGATTCTTCTTACAAGTATTGCAAAATATGTTCACTACCTGTTATTTATAACCTCTTTGCCTGACTTTCTTAATTGGCATTAGGTCAATAGAGAGGTCTGAGGCAAATGAGCTATAGCTATCGAGTTGATAAAAATGACTGATATTTTAAGGGATTTATTTCATTAGTTCTCTGGGTACTACTAATCATTCCTAAAAATGGTTACTAGTAAAGCTAACATGTTTTGAAATCCCCCTGGCCTTATAATACAATAAAACTCTACAAACTGTAACAAAATCTAATACACTTTCTCAAGCTGACCGTGAATTCTGACTATGCTAAAATTACTAAAATTAAATGTATACATTTATTTAGACTCAGTTCCATGTTTCATTCTATTCAAAATGGTAACAGTTGCTTTTTTCCATTTCACATATGCCATAAACTAGAGACAGAAAGATAGATCAAAAAGGTAGGCTCTTTTTAATGAAAGGACAAATCTAAATTATTACTAAATGCTTTCATAAATTATTGTCATTTTCCTTAAATGCAGAACGGAATGCTTTATTGGCCCCTACCAAGGTCATTCTGGTGTCCCTAATACTTAAAATCACATTTACTTCTTTCTAATCAATGTAAAATGTTATATCCCAGTTTTCATTTGCAATTATTTTGCCTTTTCAGGAGTATCTCTGCAACCATCAATATGACCCATCAGGATGAATATAAAATCAAATCCTAATCCAAGAGACAAGAAATATCCTCACTGAAAGAAAGATTATAGCAAAAGCCTTATAATCTAAAGCTGGAACAAGGCATGAATTATTATCATGTACAACCATAAAGATTAGTAACATTTTTGGAAGACTGTGAAAACATCAAATTACCATGAAAAATGTCCAGAATTGTGAAGCTTAGCTAATGCCATGAAAAGACTTTCCCAAATCAAAAAAGATGCTAGGATTGTATTCCACAATAAGAGGCTAAAAGTTGCCTTTAGACAACTCTGAATATACTTGTAATGAAGTAGCTATGGAGTATGTCCATCTCTTCTGCTAGATCTAGCGGGCTACCTGTCTGCTACTGGGACCTTGGTTTTAACACGTATATAAGAATTCACATTTCATTTCTAATAACTCTTTCTGTACAAAGAGACAATACAAAGTACAAACCTGCACATCATAGGTCCCATTTAGTAAAACAGGCCTTGAAGAATTGATGTCCTGCAGCACACCAGAAAACACAGAACGGTTGACCTTCTGGAAGTCTTTGGAATGGCTGAACTGCACCATGTTATGAAGGGCCAAGATTTTGCTGTCCAGCTCAGCATCCTGCCTGGTGCGGTTATGCAGTCCTAAGTGATACTTTCGGAAGTGCTTAATCAGATCTGTGGGGTCATTGCCATAGTAACCATATCCACAGATATTGCATTTAAAGTCCTGAAGCTCTGGAGACAGAGGTGCCGGGTCTGGGTTGTCATTCACCAGTAAGTCAGTTTTGGATTTATTCAGTCTTACACCCCCATCTGAAGGCACTTGTGGGTTTTTTGAGGCCACTGAAACTGGGCTCAAACCTTGACAATTGGCTTGACCACTCTGTGCTTGCCCTGTTTCCTCCGTAGCCTTTGGTGACATCTTCTGATCTTCCTTTGTCTCCACTGAGTCCCCTGAGGGGGTGCAGGCCATATCTTGAGGGTCATCTGCCTCTGCTCTTTGAGGAGACTTCAAGGGCTCACAGACTCCCCCAGCAGCTGGACATGAGAAAGCCAACATATTTCTGTCTGTCACCTCATCATGCGGAAAGGAGGGAAGGTTTCCTCCCTTACTGGGGCTTTCATAATTGAAGCCAGCCTTCTCACTCAGGACTGCGCTTTTCAAGTCCTTCTTACTGCTAGAAGATGGATCTTGAACATGCAAGCTATGCTCCTCCTTATGATTTAGTTCTGCAGCATCACTCTGATCCGTGTTTTCTGACATCTGATCTGCAGAAAATTCTTTGTTCTTTCCAGATACCTTGCTTTCTGTACCTATAGGCTCCAGGATCTGGCCCTCGCCTTCACTCGCAACGTTTCTCAGAGGGGGGTTCTTTTTCCGGACCATATCTGCAAAGATACAGGGAAAAGGCAGATACAGTGTTATTTGAAAGTTACAGAGATATAATTGTATCTGGAATATTTTACTTATGCAAGTTTTTTAAGGGCCATAATCAAATGCTTCCTCTAGGAAAAAAAAATCAGTTCTAAAAATAGCAAAAAGTTGAGACTAAAACAAACAATTTACATTTAGAATTACTTTTGTAACCAAGAGTGGCTCATTTATTATTTTAAGGTTGTTTTATGAATAATGAAGGATTTTTATTACTAGGTTTACCCTTCCTATTACTTATTCTTTCCTAAAAATATATTTTTGTCCAGTTTCTTCCTTCAAGTGTAGCTAACAATATATATACATGCTTATATATTTATAAATGGTCTATATTATATATAACATGTACACATTGTGTTTATAAAATATATGTGTGTGTTTATGGAATACATCACGTGTTTATTTATACGGTACGTATATGTATACCTGAATAACATAAATTGGAATTCGATATTGTTACCCTGTGTAACCGGGATGTAAATATAGTTTCAAAAAAAATTTCTTCATTGTCAAAAAGACAGAAACAGCTATGTTATAAACAGAGTGAAAACTGCCTCATCACTTTCAGGAAGTGGAGGATGACAAACGTTCCAGCTCTGACCTACCACCAAATTTCTTTAAGCCACATTTGGAGCTTGCCTGAAAGTCAGAAGAAAGGCCTGGTACACATCACAGTGGTTGGATCAGGTTTTCCTAGGATTCTGTCCAGCATGTTGGGGAACCTAATAAGCTCTGGGTGTCCCATACGCAGCCTGGTGAAAACAGTACCTGTTCCACCACCGGGAGTGCACTGGAAACTGACTAAGAAAGAATATTAAGCTGAACCATATGATATTGTCCTTGCGTCGCTCAAAACAGTAAAATATTAGCAGTTTCCTATGGTTCACCTTTACACATTAGCTCAACCATGTCTCTCAAGTTAAGTTAGTGACATCAGTGACTGAGGTCAAAAGAAGAATACTGGAACAAATTCTTCTGCTGGAGTAGAATGAGTCAGAACTCTAAGAATATAAAATAAACTAAGAAATAATTTATGTAGTGTCAATTAAAGAATACATTAACAAAGGCTGGTTGAAGGCTGGGTTCCATGGCTGCTGTTTCTTACTCACTCAGCTTAAAGAGCTGTCGAGTGCTGTGTAAGTCATTACCCCAAATGTCTCTTGGAAAATTCCACCTGTGACATTCTGATTAAATAAGACTTCTTTGTTAGCTGACTTCGCCATAAGGACTAACAGTTAGTTATACCACGATTATCCAAAATGTGCTGAGAAAATCCAAATAACATAGTTTAGTCATTTTTATCTATAATTTCTTCAAGTACTGAAGTACCACACTAGCTTTGGATATACAGGTTTACCTTTGCTTCTGAAAAGCTGGTCATGCAAAATTTTTATATGAATCACTGAACAACGATAGTGCACTAGAGTATAAAGAATCATTTACAAAGTAAAAATGTGCCACAGTGAATGTCAAAAATAGTATAATGGTACTTAAGAAAGTACACTGGGCCAAGCGCAGGGGCTCACGCCTGTAATCCTAGCACTTTGGGAGGTCACAGTGGGTGGGTCACCTGAGGTCAGGAGTTCGAGACCAGCTGGCCAACATGAGAAAATCCTGTCTCTACAAAAAATACAAAAATTAGCTAGGTGTGGTGGTGCACTCCTGTAATCCCAGCTACTCGGGAGGCTGAGGCAGGAGAATTGCTAGAACCCAGGAGGCAGAGGTTGCAGTGAGCCAAGATCATGCCATTGCACTCCAGCATGGGCAACAAGAGTGAAAATCCATCTAAAACAAAATAAAAACAAAAACAAGCAAAAAAAAAAAAGAAAGAAAGAAAGTACACTGTTCTTACATATCAATAATGTTATTTGCCAAATATCTACAGAAGCTTTCTCCTGGAACAAAATACACATATACAGGATGAAAGAGTGAAGTTTCAAGTAAAAGTGGTTGTGTTGAGGCAATGTAAATGTGCCTGATTTCTGGAGGGAGGAAGAGGACTATGAGCTTCTCATCTTGGTGTTATTCTGTTAGGCCCTAAAATTAACGAAGCCTGATGACCACTGTTAAAAAAGGAAACACTGGTCAACTATTTTTTTTTAATGTTTGCATTTCAATGTCTTATGTGTTACGTCAACCTTGTAGGAGTCCTGTATTCTTTTGCCAGAAGTGACTAAAGAAGCCCTGGGAATGTGTGAAAATACACAGAAAACCAAAGGGCAATTTTACTAGTAGTCAATAAAGGGAAAATGGGGGGGAAAAGACTAAATGGGCAACCTGAAAAAATTAGTTATCATTTAAAATATAAGTTTAAGCAAACTATGCACGGTTTTTTTTTTTTTTTGAGATGGAGTCTGGCTCTGTCTCCCAGGCTGGAGTGCAGTGGCCGGATCTCAGCTCACTGCAAGCTCCGCCTCCCAGGTTTACGCCATTCTCCTGCCTCAGCCTCCCGAGTAGCTGGGACTACAGGCACTCGCCACCTCGCCCGGCTAGTTTTCTGTATTTTTTAGTAGAGACGGGGTTTCACTGTGTTAGCCAGGATGGTCTCGATCTCCTGACCTCGTGATCCGCCCGTCTCAGCCTCCCAAAGTGCTGGGATTACAGGCTTGAGCCACCGCGCCCGGCCCTATGCACGGTTTTAACTTGGTCTACAGAAAAGGATATTTTAGGTTGTAATCAGATATTCCTACACATAAAATTGTGAAGGCTTGATACAACTTCTCTTACCATTCCCTCCAGAATTTCCTGATTGTTAATTTTTTCCATTACACAAAATGTCTTCACTAACTATTACAATATAATCTTCCCTTACTAAATAACTGTATCATTTGTATTTTAACCGTTTCTTCTTAAGATGACTACAATCTAACACTGAATCACCTAAATGAAATGAATAAGGTTACACACAAAAAAATTAAAAATTCTATATCAAAAGACAGGACTCACGAAGAAATGAGGAAGAAATAATCTAATTCATTAAGATTATCCTTCCGTCAAAATGGAGAGAAAATGGTTTATGCATATGTTAACGCCAGGGTGAGTGATTAGGAAAATGGTAACATTTTAAATAGCAAGGGAACCAAGATAAAATACTTAAAAGTGAATAGATCCAAATACATTAGTATTTTAAAAATTAACTTACTTTTCAAAACAAGAAGAAGCTTTAGATCTAGTTGATTTATTGTTACATTGAAGATATATAATGGGTCATAGTTTAAAGACTACTCAACCAGCATCTTTAGTGGCTGGGAGAAAATATGACTTAATTAAATTATCATCTTTCTAAAATTTAAGTTCCTCCTTCTACCCAAGAACAGATACTTAGAACACTTATGACTCACGACTCCTTATGCTGAATAGAGTCCTTAATAATACACATTGCAAAGACTGTTAAACTGCTAAAACTTCAAAGAAATATCCGAAAGGTCGTTTGGGTTTTATTTTCTGTTGTGGGTGCAGGGGCATGCTCTTTAGTTGCTGTTAAAAAAAAAAAAAAAAAAGTGTGCTTAATTTAGTTGACTATACTTTGAAGTAGTTATAGAAAAAATAATTTTACTGGAATTATATCATCATAATTTTTCGGAGTGACAGATTATGTAAATATAAGCACATCTGTCATACTTCTAAGTGGAAGAAACTCCCCTAGCAAGTCATAAGTTAGATACCATAAGACTATAGCCACCCTCAAGTTATTATCTCTAAGACAAATAACAGATTGCACGATGTTTTACTGTGTGCCAAGAACTTTTCCAGTTAACATTTTCACTTGAAAAAATAGATCACATACTTGTAAAATCATACCCAGCATTGACTTCATAAGGCATGTGGCTTTAGAGTGCTTTTTACAATTATTAATTCTATTAGTCAACTAGCAGGAGGCTAATGCAATTGTCTTAGAAGACGCTCGGAAGACACAGGACATTTTGAGAGCTGATCTGTACATCTGCAAAACAAAGCAAAAAAAAAAATTTTCCTTCCTAAATGATGTAAACACATTTTCATGTATCACACCTAAAATATATTAATATGCCAGCATCATAGGCTGCCTGAAAGATATAAAAGCATGAGCAGATCTTGAGCAAGATCCTCTCCCTCCCTTGGGTTTTAAAAAAGCAACAAGAGAAGGAGGAACATGATATAAAAGGGTTATAGGACATAAGTCATCTTCATAACAGACTGTGATGTTGGTGAAATTATTCAACCTCTAAAACCCCGTCAACCCTAATAACCATAATACTTACCTACAATGGGGTGGGGGTAAAAGATCTTAATTTGTAAACACCAGCAAATGCTTTTAAAGGGAAAATCTTAAAGCAATTAAAATATGTAATCACAACAATGAACACAGTCATTAGGTTTGGCAACTCTATTTTAATCTTTATCACCCTACTACATAGCAGTATCCTTGATGCAGACTACCCTACCCCCAGAAAAGTTCAAAATGCCCATTAGAGTAAGTCCACTATGAATTGCCATTTTAGATAATGGGCTAAAAGTGAAGTTGAAAAAGAGGAGGTGAAGAATTTAAAGGAGAACTGCAAAGCTCAAAATTGCTATTTTAAGTCCTCTATTTAATTGTGAGATTAAAAATTGACCTCTGGGGCTAAGTAGTAGGGAGCAGGCCTACATTTACATTACTCTCCACCTGAACAGCCCATATAATGAGAATGTATATTATGTGCCAAAATATTTAGGCAGGTTAAAAATATATGTAGCTTTCCAAAAATACTCTATTTGTATTAATTTTCATTGCTGAGATATAAGACATTCCATCTGTAAAAATTACAAATTTCTACTTTTAATTAACCATATTTCCTTCTAAATAAAACAAATCTAAATGCTTTCTTTGCTTTCTTAGAAAATGTGTTTACTTTTATAAAAATAGGAGTGCATTATTTCTGTTACCATATAATTTAGACAGATTTATGGTGTAGAAATAATCAGCATTCGAGCTTAAAAATAATTCTGATAACTATTTTATCACACTATTTAAAATGCTTAAATACATAAGAAAAAAAATCTTCTCCCATAGAAGACTGACTGATGTTCTCAAGAGGGCACCTTCACAGGCAAAGGGATTTGAGTTTTCTATCATTACCTAGATACTGTAAATTAACCACTAGTGATTTAGTTATATTACATATATTACATATAAATATATACATGCCTACATTTAATGATATATTCTTACTCCAACCAACCTTGCAACAGATAATCAAATAAATTATTCAACTAAAGAAATCAACTATCACAGTAATTTAAAAACAGATCTTAGATCACACATCAGCTCAATGCAGATGAACTAAAATTTATTTCCATTAGATTAGAAACTCTTTGAAGGTAAGAGGTGTAAATTTTACAAATTTTATATTCTTTGTAGTATCTGGACCCTAAGCAAAGTAAAGAATTAAAACCTGAGTAAAAATGGTATGGAAATTGCATATCCAGTCTCTACACCTGATTTAAATCAGCTGCTCATGTGATCAAGGGCAAGTCCTTTTGCTTCTCTGAGTCTCTCTTTTTACCTGTACAATAAGGGAATTTGAATAAATTATTTCTAAAACTCCCCCACCTCTGTGACTCTACAGTGGTTCCGGTTAATGGCACTTCAGTTTTACCTTTAAAAAGTTTGCCCAATTGCACTGAAAGACTATAGAAGAGTAAAGTTTGCCCAATTGCATTGAAAGACTATAGAAGAGTAAAACACCAACTACTAAGGGTGGTCTAAATACCACTGAAGCCTATCTTTGCCTCAGTTTCTCACTTCCCCCAATATTCATTCATTCAGTAAATATATCCAACCTCAGTTATATGCCAAACACACTAAGCAAGATGACTTTAATTTTATTAATTGTCATTAATTTAAGAGAGATATATTTAAAAAGAAAATGACTATAAGCAACTCCTATTCTCAAGGAAAACTGACACTTTTGAGTATCTTTCCAAATATAATTTCATATACATATATGTGTGTGCATATATATGTACACACACACATTACATTCTGAACAAGACTCTGAAAAAGCAGGAGGGCAAGATCCTGTAATTGGACCTCAGTTTCAAATCTTGTTGCATATAATTTTTAATTATAAGTATCAGTTCTTATTTTCATAACATATGCCAGATGACATGTTCCTTTTGTTTTTCCAGCTTATAAAACTTCTCAACTGTTTAAAAACAAAGCTTAACACAAAAAGAAAAGTCATCATGGTCTTTGCCTTAATAAATATGTTTTCTTCCACGTTTGCTTGTATCACCAGCATAAGAGTACTGAGTTATTAATTACACATTTCATGTAGCTTTTATTTAAAAAAAAAAAACATAAAAGAAAGAAAAAAATGTTTCTTTTGATCAAAAGGCCCCACAAAGAATTTAAAGAATTAAGCAAGTGATAGCAAAATAAAAGGAGGGTCAAATCTTGGGCCTAGAGCAAACTAGATAGCTTCCATATGAACAACATATACAGTTCAGTTTTGAAAGAACATATGTGTTTGCTCATTGGTTTAGGGGGAAAAAAAAAAAACACTTGAATCCTGTCTACTCCATATATACAGATCAAAATCAGATTGCTTAAGTGAACTATAAAATGCAAGAGAACATTGTTTATCCAATTCACAAACCCAAGAATCACTGAAGAAGTTTAGATGTTTTCTGTTTCTTCAAATTCCAGGGCAATACTTCAATGGTAGATCGCTTTTTTTGTAAACTGCTTCAAACTTCGTAAACTCAATGTCAGATCCTGTTCTTTCCTATCCATTTCTATTTAATTTGCTCTCTCTGAATTGACTGTTCCCAAATTTTTTAAAAGTATTTTTGAACTTCTTAAATCTTGTTGAGTTTTAAATGTCATCACCTTCAAACAACTTCCACCAAATAAATCTCTTATTAATTCACATCAAACTAATCCAAAATGATCACTTCTATTAGCATACGCTTCAGAGCACAAAAGCCCATTAATAGTCATCTGGACTCTAGAACTAACCGAAAGCCCTCTGAGATAAAATGCACACTATTTAGATATCCTATTTCAAAGGTTTTGATGCTAGCCCAAACACATTTTATTAGGCTTTTATTTCATCTTGCTATGTTCTCTAGATTTTAAATATCTCATTTCAAATGCACTTGTCTAAGTAAAAGGAGATAGTGTGGTAAGTAAGTAATAATGTTCTATTTGCCTAAATGAATCTTCCTATATCCAAATACATGTTAGAGAAAAAAATTCATTAACCATTGTACTTTTATAAGAAAATTACAAAACTATTTTTTCAAAGACTTTAGGCTATAGTCACAATGACACTGTAGGATATATTTGAAAAAAAAAAAAAAAAAAGAATGCACCTATTTCACTAACTAGGGAAACTAAAAGAGCAATAATACATCATGGAGTCTCAAAGAGCAAGGGGAATTGATTATTTTTCCTTTCATAACTGGTGAGAGGCAAACGTATTGAAATCCCTGATTTGAATAAGATCACAATTTCACTGTGCAAATTGAGAAATGTTACCATTTGTTTCCCGTTGATTCACACAGGCCAATCTGACTTTACATTTGCACACAAGTCAGTTCCAACTTCATCCCTACTTGTCTGTTAAACTTAGAATATTTCAACTGGTCTCTGGGCAAAGAGCCAAGCACAGCACTTAAGTTCAAAATGAGTAGCTCATCGAAGAGTATAAATGTTTCTATTTATCTTGATGGTTATGATGTGAATTGACATTTTATTGTATGTAAATTAGATTTTCACTCATAACAAAAATAATGAGTGCTGTGCTTTGTAGGAATGCCTTTGACTATGTTCCCAGCAATTGGTGAAAACTATCACTGAATAGTAAAGGTAGTTTAATTTTTTAATGTATTAATGTTGCTTTTCTCTGTTTTCCAACCTGTTAATCAATAGAAAAGAAAATCTCAATTATTAACTCAATCCACCAATATAACTAACAGCTTTCTTAGTTCTCCCTTAAGAAATCTGTGTCAATCACTGCAAATCCATTTGGTAAACTGACACACATATACAGTGTAGTGAATCTAATAGACACTTACCACAAAGATAACATACTGCAATTAGAATGCTCGTTGTCTTCACAGCACCAGTAAGCCAAGTATATTCAGCAAAGTATATTCAGTATTTAATACTACTACTAGTAGTATTAAAAGTGCCAAATCTAATATAAGATTAAAAATGATGTTGTGAAGACATACTGAGAACTTACACCTGTAATGTACTCTGTATGCGTGCATATGCATGTGTGTGTATCTCTAAAATGAAGGGAAGTAAGTTTGTGCCTCCATATGCAATAGTTCTTCCTCATGAAACTAGGAAATAACTCACAAAGCACTATGTTCACCCCTACTGTACCACAGGGAGCAGCTTAAATGGCCTGCACTCATCTAATGGACTAAGGACAACCATAGACATATCCAACAGATAACACAAACATTACAATGAACCAGCTAATCCATTCAGGCAACAAAAAGGATTTAGAAATTTGGTACAAAATACAAAATTTGGTTTAGATACCACCCTATTTAGTGCCAAATACTTATTTTAACCTAATTAGCATCATTTTTCCGTCTGACAAAAACAAATTACACACACACACACACACACACACACACACACACACAGAGGAGTCATTTTCTCTCTTTTGTTAAGTATGGAGAAATTTTCCAAAGAAAACTGATCTTAAAATAAATATATATATATATATATATGTGTGTGTGCGTGTGTGTGTGTATATATATATACACACACTTGGAAGCAACTTCTCATGGTAAGATTAAATCACTTTTTCCTGACTTCTAGGATATGAAAAGCTTTATGTATGGGTGAAAAAAGTAAACATAGAATCCGTTCATAATTTGGAGTTGGATAAGTAACAGGCTTAGAAAGCTTCAACTATAAGAACATTTTTGAAGACACATTATGGTATTTCAGAACAT